CACATGAACCCGGGTAGGGCCCTCTGGTCCTGCTACCTCTCTTAGAAGAAGCATGTGTTTGCTTCAGGTCCTGGCCGATGTGGCGGTGGGGGGTGGAAATCTCTTGGGGTTTCAGAGTCATCGCTTCCTGTTTTGAAGGAGGAAGGACTGGAGGACGGGGTCTTGTCTCTGGAAACTTTCTTTCCCGGGCGGTAGGGAGGAGGCTCATTTGCTGGGTCAAAATCAGGGGCTGGGGGTTTAGGGGGCCTTTTAGGGGCTTTAGATTTGGATTCTTTTGTAATGGAGGGGGAGAGAGAGCAGAGGAGGATTTGATAGGTAGAACAATCCTTGCAGAGAGAAGGATGGCTTCTAAGGTGCCAGAAGACTTGAATATAGGGAACCTCCAACCATTTGCCATTCCATTTGAGGAAGTTTGTGAGATCTGATAAAATATTGCAATCGAAAGTCCCGAACTAGGTCAGCAGTTTAGTTTATGAATCTTGAGATCTGTCAAGAGCAGAGGTTTGAGGTTTCGTTTTACACAGGCCAAGGGAGAGTCCTGTGGGACGGATTGCCCTGACCCCCATAGCAAATGGCCAGCGACTGTCTGGTCGAGAGAAAAGGTCGTCACCTAATCTTTTGACCAGGCAGAGAGAGAGAGAGAGAGAGAGAGAGAGAGACTCTGACAGAGGTAGGGGTGTCCCTCACATACCTCCCCAGAGGGCCTTTTGGCTGGACAGTTCCCCAGGAACCTGGAAAGGACGATAGTCTTGGCACCCTAGAGTACCGTCCAAGCTTACCTGGGCTATTGGGTCAGGCGAGAATTCATGGTGGATGGAGGGAGGTCAAATGGCAAAAGGCCTCTGTCCTGGAGTTGGTCGGTCTTGTGGAAAAGAAAGTGTAGGGAAAAGAGGAAGAGAGAAACCAGTATTCCTCGGGTTACGCGGAAAGCCAATAAAGCCCTTTCATTGGACTTCGTACCACTCACGAAGGCACAGGGCGCCCTCTCCAGGAGGTGTTGAAAGTCCAGGCAGGAAAGTGAGCTCCGCAGGCTTCCACGATCCGAAGAACTGGCCATGGAGAATGAGAAGGAACCTCAACTGAGCTCCCAGGTTTTGGCACCAAAAAATGTAGGGTAAGGGAGTTAGAGAAGGTGAGGTTCAGAAAAAGAATGAGACCAGCACTTTACAGGAACAGATCACCTTTATTGAGGCGAGAAGGGGCAGAAGTCAGATTAGTGAGCTGCTGCAGTAACCCAGGAAAAAAGTATATACAGGCATATATGTGGAAATCTACTGTCTTAAGGGGGTCTGTTCTTCTCTAAGGTTGTTCGGGGTAGTTATCTCTTAAATGGCTGGGGCAAGGAATTCTGGAGGTTGGTTGGTCAGAGGCTGGGACCAGCTCAGAGTTGGGGTTAATCAACCTTAATGTCCATTTTTTTTCTTTGGGTGAGAGTTCTTTGTTTTGCATAGAGTGATGGGGAGGACCTGCGCGGGGAATTAACTCCAGGCTATTTTGAGCTGGGTAACTTTCCTTCACTGGTATTCCCATCTCTTTCAGAATTTTCCACAGTTCTTCGTGATCCACACAGTCAAAGGCTTTGGCATTTCAACAAAGCAGAAATAAATGTTTTTCTGGAACTGTCTTGCTTTTTTGATGATCCAACAGATGTTGGCAATTTGATCTCTGGTTCCTCTGCCTTTTCTAAAACCAGCTTGAACATCTGGAAGTTCATGATTCACGGATTGTTAAAGCCTGGCTTGGAGAATTTTGAGCATTACTTTACTAGCGGGTGAAAGTGAAGTGAAGTTGCTCAGTCGTGTCCGCCTGTTTGCGACCCCATGGGCTGTAGCCCACCAGGCTCCTCCGTCCATGGGATTTTCCAGGCAAGAGTACTGGAGTGGGTTGCCATTTCCTTCTCCAGGGAATCTCCTCAATCCAGGGATCGAACCTGGGTCTCCCGCATTGTAGGCAGATGCTTTTGCCGTCTATTGTGCGGTAGTTTGAACATTCTTTGGCATTGCCTTTCTTTAGGATTGGAATGAAAACACTTTATCCAGTTCTGTGGCCACTGCTGATTTTTCCAAATTTTCTGGCATATTGAGTGCAGCATTTTCACAGCATCATCTTTTAGGATATGAAATAGTTCAACTGGAATTCCATCACCTCCACTACCTTTGTTTGTAGTGATGCATTCCAGGATGTCTGGATGTCTGGCTCCAGGTGAGTGATCATACCATCGTGATTATCTGGGTCGTGAAGATGTTTTTTGTATAGTTTTGTGTATTCTTGCCACCTCTTCTTAACATCTTCACGTGCTCTGAAGCCTAGCTTGAAGGATTTTGAGTATTACTTTGCTAGCAGGTGAAATGAGGTGAATAAAAACTGACCTTTTCACATCCTGTGGCCATTGCTGAGTTTTCCAAATTTGCTGACATAGTGAGTGCAGCACTTTAACAGCATCATCTTTTAGGATTTTAAATAGCTCAGCTGGAGGGTAACACTTATGGTTAAATATTGACAATTTAAAAATTAACTCAAAATTAATTATGAATTGTTAGAAGAACGAAAATCATGGCACAAAACTCAGTCTTTCAGGCCCAGGGTGTGTCACTTCCCAAGTGTTTATCAGCCCCCGCTGATAAGTATAAATAAAGTGATTATCACTTTATTTTCTCATGAAATTGGAATAATACAGTGTGTACTTCACAAGGTGTATGGGGTAGTAATGAATAAAAGATACAGCATGTAATGGACTTACCTAATAATAGCAAACAATGTAGTACATTTTAAAATATTATTCAAAACAACCTTTATGCAATAGTGATGACTATATTAGATAGGTACCAATTTTACAGAAAATTAAGTCAAAGGTCAAGAGATGCCCAAATTCAGTTTTCTATCTGTAATCTCAAGGGAGTATGTAATAGAGACATGCCAATTATGTTGTGAAAGTGAGGAAACCAAGTTAGAAAACTTCTCAGCTTCCTCAAATGTCTTAAAATTTGGAACTTGATTCCTACACTTCAGTTCAGTCGCTCAGTAGTGTCCGACTCTTTGAGGCTCCATGGTCTGCAGCACGCCAGGCTTCCCTGTTCATCACCAACTCGCAGAGCTTGCTCAAACTCATGGGTTGTGTTCATTTCAGAGTGCACCGCATACAGGTTTGTCTGCAGTTTGAGAAATGACCACTAGAGGGCAGGAGACTCGAAGTTTACATACAGCTCAAGAATGAAGTTTTCTGTTTTAGGACTATTTTCAACTAAATAGGTAACAATATTTTTTTATCATGCAGTTGTTTTACCTCAGTTGTATTTCCTAAATAAACCCATCTCTGCAGATTCAGAAAATATTTCCCAAGCTCAGGTGAAGCACATTATACAATCTACTTGATTTACAATTTGTGGATTTTCTCTGCATCTACAGATAATAAACAATAATTCCTTCTGAAATGCTGTCTATTAAAAAATTAACCCTCTGTTTTTGACCTGTTGAAATAAATATGAAAAATCCCTTCTCTCACATTGCTTCAAAGTATAAACTTTTTGAAAATTTAAAACGTGTTATTGTAAAAATAATCTCACAACATCCAGTTTTTAATAACGCCATCACCTTCTCATTGCTCCATTGCACAGGTAATACTGCCAAGTTTCTCATATACTGCAAAAATGGTCTCTGCACACCACGCATATAGATGCATAGGGAGGAGACCGGAAGTCACATGTACTCACCCACCACATGGGGATGCCCAGAGGAAAGGGCTGCACGTGGGAGGGGCGCGCAGGGGCTTAGGGGTTCTCATTCCCAAAGCACAGCCAAAGGCAGGGTTTGGCCTTGACCTCAGGGTATTGAACCCTCCCTTTTCTGGACTCCGCATACCTCTTCTGACCATCCTGGTCTCACTTCCCAGATTGCCCCAGGAAGGGATGGACACTCAACTGCATGAGCCCCACTTGGTGTGGGCACAGCCCAGGCTCCTGGCCCCCAGGTCCGTGGGTGGATGCAGCAGGATAAGCTCCAGGACAAAGGGCCTCGCTTCCACATGCAGACTCAGCGAGAGGTGGTGGGGCAGCCTAATCTAGCTTGTCCAGTACCCGTGCATGCATCTAGCAGCGCGCGAAAGAGACCCCGCCTGGGTGAACCCATGTCCAGTGTACCAACGGTTCCCATCCCGGCGGTTACCACATGGTGCCAACGGCCGCTGTGCTGCTACCCCGCAACCCCAGGGACCACCCCACACCAATCAGCCTGGCTGAAGATCTGGGGACGTGAAGTCACAGAATAACCTCCCACACATCCTGCTGTCCGGGTCCCACTCTACCCCCACCCCCGCCACCAGCTGCCAGCTCCCTGCACCGCTAGGTCAGGAGGCCTGGAGGTGGTGTAGACACGGGCCTGGGCAGGGGAAGGTCAGGCTGCCTCTTCCCTCTCCATCTCTCCTCCAACCTTTCCCCGCACCAGGTCTAGCCTGTCCCTGGCTGGTGCAAGCGGCTGGAGGGAGCCTTGAGAGCAGGCAGTCCCACAATGAGGCCCGAGTGTTGGGAGTAATTACTGTTATTAGGGAGTGCTCCCTGGCACTTAGGTCACCCCAATTTATTGATGAGCCACGGCATGGATGCTCAGGGTCACTTAACTCTAAGTGACCAAGTCCAGCCAAACTAAGACGTCACAACGAAGCTTGCCTGTGACTGGCCCCAGAGGCCACGCCCAAGAGGTGGACCCCGGGAGCCCAGCCTTGGAGAGGAGTCCGTCTTGGGTGCGGGAGCAAGGGGAGGGGAACCGCAGGCCGGGACTCCCGCAATGACTCCGCCCACTCCCATCTGCGGACTGGAAACTGCAGGGAAGGTCTCATCCCTGGTCCCCAGAGATGCGGCCCGGTGCCCACCGCGTCCCAGACTCCCCGGGTCTCCAGGCTGCGCTCTGCTCCCACAGACTCCGGGAGTTAGAAAACATTCCCAGGACTCGGAGCACTGGGTCACCAACGGGGAGCTAAGGCCACCAATTCTAGCACGGTACCGTAGACCCTCAGGGTTCCGCCCAAGCACAGCAACTTGTAGAGGAGCAAAAAGAACTTCCTTCTGGCACCCGGAAGCCGCCCCCTCCCTCCCCCACGCCAAGGGAGGAGTCTCGGGGGCCTATCCTCCTCCCAGGCGCTCAGAGAGGGGGACACGAAGCCTCTCCCCGTTGCCCTGGGGGTGGCCTGGCCCAGCCGCCCCTGCGAACCTCGGGATCCCCACCTAGATCCGGAGGCTGAGAGCCGCCGGAATGGGGGGGAGGCGTTGCTAGGAGACCGAGGGCCAGGTCAGGCCCCTCCTGGGCTGTCTCGCCCTGCGCCGGCTCACGTCAGTTATTCGAAGAACCACCATCGGCCTCAACAGCGGGCCCGTGTCCACGGCCGAGGCCGCTTTGGCTTCTTCCGCCGCCTTTGCGCCGGCAGCAAACCCAGGTGGCTTCTGCTGCTGCCGGCAACCTGTCCGGCGTCCACTTGGGTAGCGGCCCTGGGGAGCCGCGCGGGCAGGCGGGGACGCGCTCCGAGCCATGGAGGAGATACCTATCCTGGGCCTGGGCACCTGGAAGGTGAGGCGGCGTCTTCGTTGAGGAGGGGCGGTGCCTTCCTTCGACACGCCCCTGCGTGGAGCGCCACCTACCTGGGGACACCTGCCACAGCCTCCGCAGGTCCAGCTGGTCGCTGGCACCTGGAAGGGGCCCGCCTCCGGCTTTTGGAAGATGGAGTATTTAAGACATTAGATTTTCTAGAATTGGGGATTGTCCTTCCCAATCACTGTTTATTTTTGTTTGTTTGTTTGTTTGTTTGTTTGTTTTTGGCTACAATGGGTCTTCTTGCTCCCCGGGCTTTCTCTAGTTGCTCTAGCTGAGCTTCTCATTGTGGTGGCTTCTTTTGTTGGGAAGCCAGAGCTCTAGGGTGCATGATCTCCAGCAGTTGCAGCTCCCCGGGCTCTAGAGCACAGGCTCCCTAGTTGTGGCACACAGGCTTGGTTGCCCCGAGGCATATGGGATCTTTCCAGATCTGGGGTCAAGCCCGTGTCTCCTGCATTGGCAGGAGGATTTTTTGCCACTGAGCCACCACAGAAGCCACCCGCCCCCCACCCCGCCTCATTATAATTGTTCAGAGGAAAAAAAAAAAAGCCTGAGAAAGCCCAGAAGAAAAGATTGTCAGGCTTGGATAAGGGCAGGAAACGGTCGCCTGACAGATCAGAGCAGCAGGCATCAGGAAGATGGGGAAGTGTCTGTACCAAAGAGACAGGAAAATGCTGTCGTTGCTAATTTGGTTTTAAAAAGAAACTTTCAAACTTTTACTTCCCAGTGTAAAAACCTGATAGTGGACGTTCAGTTCAGTAGCTCAGTCATGTCCAACTCTTTGCGACCCCGTGGACTGCAGCCCTCCAGGCTTCCCTGTTCATCATCAGAGTCCCAGAGCTTGCTCAAACTCGTGTCCGTAGAGTTAGTGATGCCATCAAACCATCTCATCCTCTGTTGTCCCCTTCCCCTCCTGCCTTAATCTTTAGTGGAAGTACTTTGGACCTTCCTCTTCTTGTTTTTTTCTAATCCCTGTCAGTAATTTAGACAGCACTAATTATAAAGCCTTTCAAATTTGCTTTCTTTTTAAAAGTCTTTAATAAAGAGATATTTGTTTAAGAATTCACATAGAAAGTTATTGGTTGCTGGTGCTAGTGGTAAAGAATCTGCCTGCCAATGCAGGAGACATGAGACAGGGGTTCTATCCTCGGGTCAGGAAGATCACCTGGAATAGGAAATGGCAACCCACTCTAGTATTCTTGCCTGGAGTATCCCATGGACAGAGGAGACTGGCGGGTTATGGTCCATGGGGTCGCAAAAGAGTCAGACACCAATGGGCACACACAGGAATTAGAATGATCACCCTTACTCATCAAAATATTATTTAAATTATTTCTTCTATCCACTTACCAACTGGTAGAGGTCAGGGATGTATTAATAGTTTAATTTATTGTGGTCAAGTAAAATAAGTTGAAAGTATTTCCTCTTGTCAGAACTTTGTTTTTAATTGGTATGAATTCTAACTGGAAAATTTTGTAAAATTCTGTGTATTGTGTTTAATTGCTTTATTTAAAAAAATAGTTATAGAACACTTGAGCTTTATTTCTTCTTAACTTTTTCTAGGAATTTTTCCATTTCATTTCACTTTTCCAAATTGTTGGCTTCTAGTCATTGATAATAGTTCCTTAGTTTTTTAAATATGTATTTTTTATCTGTATGTACTGCTTTTCTTTCATGTCATTTAAAAAAAAAAAACTTGGTCTCCTCAGTCTTGTCCAAAGTTTGTCTATTTTAGGGAATCCCCTTGAGGTCCAGTGGTTAGGGCTCCACCTCCTACTGCTGGGAGCCCTGGCTCAGTCCCTGGTTGGAGCACTGAGATCCCATATGCTGTGCTGTGTGGCCAAAAAAAAAGAACCAACAGCAAAAAAAAAAAAAAAAAAATTGATTTTTCAAAAAACCAACCACAAGCATTGTTGGTCTTCTCTATCAATTTGTATTTGATGTTCATTATTATATTCATTTTCTCTTCTTTCTGATTTCTTGGTGGTCCTCCCAACTCTGAAGTGGATGCTTGGTTCATTAGCTCTCATCCGCTCTGAATGTGTTCTCATTCAGTGAAGATCATTATGACAGATGCATCTCACAGGGTGATGTGATGTTCAAGGGAGAAAGCGCCCTGTGAGCTGAGACCCCTTAGGGATGTGGGGTTTAGTGGTGGTGTGAGCCTCTTCCCCTGCCCCAGGCCCCTTGCCTGCTCGAGCAGCCCCCTTTACAGAGAGCATTTCTTTTCTGAACTTGCACATTGCTGATAGCATCCATTGTGTTCCTTTGGCTTCTGGCAATGCTCTGTGTGGTGGATTGTCTTTGCATGCACCTATCTGCCTTTACACTTGGGCTGATGGCCTTTGTGCGTTGTGGGTGAGTCTGTACCTCCTTGCATCACACCTGTCACCATTATTCATCCTAAATTTATTTATGCGCACCTTCATTCCAGTAGCACAGCCTCTAGCTCAGTCATTTGCAGGCACCAAACATACCTAAAGCATTTTCCCCAAATAAGTAAAGGAAAGTAGATTATCTGTAAATTCTTTCTGACTGACGTTCCTCATTTTAGGATGGATGAATACAAGTACCAACTCAGTAAATTCACTTTTTATGGCTTGTTGACTCTGTGTTCTAGAGTGAACAGGGGTTGTTGGGGTCAGGCGGTCCTGAGTCCAGGTGGCTGACTTCTTGCCTTGCAGGCGGTTCCAGGGGAGGTAACAGAGGCTGTAAAAGTGGCGATAGACGTGGGCTACCGCCACGTGGACTGTGCGTACGTGTACCACAACGAGAATGAGGTCGGAGTGGGAGTCCAGTCCAAGATCAAGGAGGGCGTGGTGAGACGGGAGAACCTATTTATTGTCAGCAAGGTAGGACTTCTCGTGTAGAGAGAGAGGGCCACTGACCGTGGGAACAGCATGGGTAGGGTTTTCCAGTCTCCTTTGTAGGAGCTGATGACTCCATCTGTACTTGAACCCAGGGGACAGGACTTGTGGAGCTCCATGCACAGGCTGGGAGCATTGCAGGTCAGGGGGATCAGAGACAGTGTGACATGAGCAAAGGCACGGGGCACAGGACACCACAGGTGCAGGGACCCCCTAAGAATCTTGGCTGAGATTCCCAAATGGAAAACTGTTGGGCAGCAGAGAGCTGACAGGTTGGGGAAGTGGACAGGCCGGACTGTGGAAGAAGTCAGGATTTCGTCTTAGAAGTTCACTCTTTTCCACTTAGAAAGGAGCATGGTTGAAAGTTGTCACATAGGGAACTGTGTTGTATAGAAGCAAGGCTGGTGTGGTGTCGAGGAGATTGTTAGCCGCTTGTTACAGGAGACAGGAGACGTTGACCGCCTGAACAAGGGCAGCCATGGAGGATCCCGGGGTGCCCAAAGGATGTGTCCCTGCCCCGTTGTATTTACTGCCAAGGGGTCCTGGACATCGTGCATCTTGAAGATCTTGGGCCAGCAGGCAGGTGTGTGCTCACAGCTCTCACGGGCTCTGTGGCCATCGTGTCTGTGCTTCCTCCCTCCCCCTGCAGCTCTGGTGCACCTGCCATAAGAAGCCCCTGGTGAAAACAGCCTGCACCCGGAGTCTGAAGGCCTTGAAACTGGACTACTTGGACCTCTACCTCATGCACTGGCCCATGGGCTTCAAGGTACAAGACGGCGAGACCCCCATAGGCCACACCTCCCTTCCTGGCAGTGCCCTGACATCATTCAGCAGGCGTCGGAGTGAGCACATGGTTCCCCTGGGACTCAGCTCTGGGGAGGCATGGGCTGGAGGACCTCAGAGCCCCTAGGCTCTAGTGCCCTACAGATCTGCCTCTCAGCCCATCATTTTTTTTCATACACAGGCGTCCCCTTTGACCGGCCTCGGGTGGCTAAAGCCGGTTGGGTGGAGAGCTTGCAGACCAACCCCTGAGGCTGTGCTGATGGCTGGCTTTAGGTTTTTAAAAATTTCCTGCCATCCTCTGGCACTTCCCAGGTGATGCTAGTGGTAAGGAATCCACCTCCCAGTGCAGGAGACACAAGAGATGTCGGTTCCATCCCTGGATCAGGAAGATCCCCTGAGGAGGTGGCAACCCACTTCAGTATTGTAGCCATCTTTCTCTGCCCTGCACCTCCCGGCACCCTTGTACTAGTTCTCGATTCACTATCTCTCGTCATGATGGGGATTCTAAGAAAAGAGGGATGATCCTACCAGTGAACTTGGGAGATGGGGCCCTTAGGACATGAAAGACTCCACTTTTTTTTGCCTGAAATTGCCAAACAGTTTTCTGGCTGCTGTCATGGATTACAGGTCTTGCTTCCCCGTTGGGTGAGCGGTGGGCAGTGACGTTCAGAGTACTGGAGGTTAGCTGTGTGTTGGAGCGGAGCCCAGGCTTCCTGCAATCTGGACCAGTGTTCTTCCCTCCCTTCCTCCCTGTCCTCTCCGAGGGTCACCCTGAGCCCCCAGTGAGCACCTTTCCTTCTGGCTCTCGCAGTCCGGAGAGGCAGACTTGCCCATGGACCACAACGGCATGATCATCCCTAGTAACACGGACTTCCTGGACACATGGGAGGTAAGCCAGCCCCGCCGACTGTCTCTGGAGGGAACTGTGAGGCCTGCAGCTGCCTGTTCAGAGGCCCCTGGTTCGCAGCATAAACTGAGGACGAACACCTGACTGAGGACCTCAGCGCAGGTCGGTCGTCTTTCTGAAGCACTTACTTTAGGGATAACTAATTCAGACTAATTCAGAATGTTTTGAGTAAAGAAAAAGATCGCATGGTCTTTACAGAAAATATAGAAAGTGTAAAACATACAGAAAGAAGGAAAATTTGAAAACCTGCTCCTCCGTGTCCTGGTGGCGACCACACTGCCATCCTATAATTCTCTTTAGTGCTTTGTCAGCATTTCGGAACCACAACTTCGGCGGCAGGGAACGTCTCGGGGCAGGCAGGAAGAAGTGGAGGAAGGGGTAGCTTATTTCAAACCAGAGTTCAGATGAAAAGTGCCGAGGCAGAAGCAAGGCGGGAGCGTACCAGTCGGGGTGGTGGGTGTTGGGCACAGGGCAGTGGGCGGCCGGCCTGGGAGGAGGGCTCCTGCCTGCAGGGTGTCCAGCCAAGCCGGCAGGTGCCTGTGACCCCTACACGGGCAGGGAGGGGTGGAGGCCAGAAGAGGAGGCTCACACTGTAACTTGCAGAGTTCAGGGAGACAAAGTGTGAGCTCTTCGTGTGGGGTGAGGGGTGCAGGCGTGGGGTGTAGGTTCATCCGGGCAGAGCGGGGAGGGGTCACAGATGAGGAGGCATGCCAGGCCAGGCCAGCCTCTCCTCCCCTTTCATCGAACAACCAAATCAGCAAAACCGAGCTCACCTGGCCCGTCTGTCCACTGCGTGGCCTGTTCTCAAGGATCCGGGTCGAACCCTGGGCTGTTTGTGTGGCCCAAGTGAGGGTCTGGGCAGCTGTTGCTGCTTCAGGGAGTCACAGGGACACAGGGACCCTGGTCACCGGCTGTGGCCGCTCAGACTCACGGCCGCCCATGCCTGGCACCAGGCTGCCGCATTCCTTTGAAGCCAAGGGCGGCCCGACTCCTGGTCAGGGAACAGCAGAGCTGTTCTGCCCTTGTTCCTGAAGACATTAACTTGCACTGGGGCAGGAGCTGAGCACAGGTTACGGTGCCGAAGCAGCTTATGATCCAGGTGGAGGGGCGAGCAGGTGAGGCCGGCGTGGATGCCCTGCGGACACTAGGCGATGGGGACTCAGGGTAACAGCGGCCCGTCCTGCTGTGTTTGCTCGACGCCAGCCCTCAGCGGAGAGCTCAGTATGCATCTACTCACACGGCCCTTAACCAGCCCCGTGGCCTGGACGGAGTGGTCCCCAGTGTGTGGATGAGGAAACAGGCTCTCTGAGGTCCCGTGGTGTGCCCACGGCCCCCAGCTCCTAGTGGTGCAACAGGGAGCAGACCTAGAGCACAGAAACACTGGAGAAGCCTTGAGGGAAATACTGTCGAACAGCAGGCGGGGCCATTATTCGGACCCTGTGCGGGTCACCTGTGGGGCTGGCCCAGCCCGGACACCCCATGGTTCTTTCTACCCCCTTAGGCCATGGAGAACCTGGTGGCCACAGGCCTGGTCAGAGCCATCGGGGTGTCAAACTTCAACCACGAGCAGCTCGAGAGAATTCTGAATAAACCCAACCTGAGGTTCAAGCCAGTGACCAACCAGGTGAGCGTGGGGGTCAGCTCAGAGGCTGTGGATCAGCTTTTCAGCCGTTACCTCCAGGAGGCTGCAGGGGCCATGGAAGAAAAGGTGGATCGAGAGGTGTAGGTGTCTTCCCCAGGGCTGTCAGCATCGCAAACTGGGAGCAGTCAGGCAGGCGGTGGGTGAGGGGGCAGAAGATCCTCGAAAGCCTGGTCTGGTGAGGTTGTGCCCCCAGAGCGAGGGCCTGAGCTGAGCTTGGCTCATGTGCGCAGCTGTGGGTGCGTCACCAGGTGCATTAAAAAATGGAGCGGTCCCAGAGGCCCTCACCCTTCGATGGTGATGCTCCAAGGTGAGTGGGCTTCATGGAAAAGCACAGGAACCCCCCTGCTCTCCAGTCTGGCACATTGCAGCCTGAAAGGCGTGGACGAATGGATGGCCTTCAGCCCAGATCACAGACTGCCAAGAGGTTAATGCAGAGAAATGACTAGTGCCAGCAGGAGTGTTGAGTTCTCTAGACAGGCTGGCACTGCAAGTAGAAAGTGCATTCTTGCAGTACTTTATTTTAAACTTTTTGTTAAAGTGTTGAGTCCATACAAAACAGTGCTCACGTAAGAACAGAGCTTGAGACCATCTCATAAGCTTAGCCTGGCTCTGGCCAGCATGCGGACCAGTAAACCAACATGACCAGCCCCATGGCCTGCCAAAAGCCCCAGGATGCTCCTTTCAGTGCCCCCTCCCTCAGGAAGGGCAGCCGCTCTTCTGGTTTCCAGCAGCACTGAGGAGTGTTAGCACTTGGTACGGACACCATGCTGCTTCCCGCACGTAGTGTCTGTGTCCTAGCCCTTCACTCAGCCTGTGCCTTGTGGGCTCCATACCCGCCTGTGACCATGGGTTGCCATTCTTCTCTGTGTACATAGAGCAGATGGGAGGCCAAGGTTTTTACCTAAAGTGATGAGGATGGCCTGGGAGAGCAGGGAAGGTTTAAGTGCTCCTGATGTAGGTCTTCCCAGTGGGCTGGTGTCTCGGGGCCCACAGTCCAGGCTTTTCCACTTCCCAGTGGAGACACTAGAAGTGGGTCCTAGCTCAGCAGTGAAAGGGTCCAGGAAGGAATGTGGGCCCCTTTTCGGGTGGACTGTTTTCCTGAAGAGCTGTCATCTTGTAGATCGAGTGCCACCCGTATCTCACTCAGAAGAACTTGATCAGTTTCTGCCAATCAAGAAACGTGTCTGTGACGGCTTACCTGCCCCTCGGTGGCTGCAGGTAGGGATGCTCCAGGGGCCCTGAGTTGAGGCCCAAGCAGGGAATGGCTGTACCCAAGCTAAGAGGTCAGAGGGGCCGAAGCACAGAGACCCACTGCCCCGTGGCCTCCAACATTGCCTCCTGGTTCTTGAGAAAAAGCCAAGTGTATGTGAAAAGCTGTGTGTCTAGTTGCCTCCCCTGTAACATTAGCAGTGGTTTGTCTGAGTGGGAGGATTTGAGTGGCAGCTTCTCTGCATCATTTAAGTTTCCTATGATGAGCAAGTAGCATGACAAAAATATGTCTAGATTATGTGTTTGGAGGAAGCGTGAGGTTTTCCTAAAGAAGGAAGCATGTTCATTTGCCCTCGTGGCCTCTGCCCTGTACTCTGCTTTCCAGTGGGGGCATGCACCTGATGGAAGACCCTACGATCCAGACGATCGCTCAGAAGCACAGGAAGTCCGCAGCCCAGGTAGACGGGGGTCGCCATGTCCTGGCTCCACTGCCTCATCATTTGGGGACGGGGCATGACAGTGATTTCTCCTTAAGGTGCATGCAAGTCCTCTGAGCTTCTCCCGATAGAACTGCTCAGAGAATCCCAGTTGGGTTTCTGAATGACTCAGAATGAAAGCACATGCTCCCATTGTGGACTTCTGGACTTTCACTGCACGATAAAGCATGACTGTCAGGGAAAGTGCTGAGCTCTGACCCTGGTAATGCCCTGCGTCTGATGTTGGACTTTTCTTTCCCTGCAGATTTTGATCCGATTTCAGATCCAGAGGAACGTAAGAGTGATTCCCAAATCTGTCAACCCAAAGCGGATTCTCGAGAACTTCCAGGAAAGTGCTTCCTCCTTTTGAATCACATGGCATCAGAGGCTTTGGGGTCACCTCTTAGCTTGGGGAAGGGATGTCTTGATGTCGAGAGCCAGCAGCCGCACCCCCTGTGGCTTTAACACCCAGGGGTGTCAGGGTGAGGCCTCTGGAGTAGAGACAGACCCTTCCCAGCCCGGAGCTATTGGAACTGGACTGGATGGAACAGGGGGTGGGGGTGGGCAGGCAGGGCTGCAGTCAGAGTTCTTTCGAGGCTGACCTTCACCCTCGTGCCAGCCACTGCACCCAGACTGCCCTGGCCCTGATGTGTCGGGGCTCCAGCTTTCTCTCCAGGCAGAACTTTGGTTGCCACTGAGTCTCTGATTTCTGCTTTGGTTGCCACTAAGTCACTGATTTCTATGCAGGTAGAGGCTAGGCCAGTCTCTACCCCTCCTCCGGCCTCAGCTTCTCAGCTGTGGGCTCAGGGTTGGATGTCCCTGAGTGGACCAGCTCTTAATGCCGGCAAGGGTCATAGTCCGCACGTGTGTTAGGTATAGGAAGAAGGGAGAGCTGCTTAGAATACTGCTTTCGCAGGACAAGAAAGAACAACTACACAGTGAGCATCAATGCCTCCAGGGACCAGGTCTCCCTCACCAAGTGGGTATATGGAAGAAATGTTTTTGGTCTGTGTTTCTTGGGGGGTTTTATTGGTTTTGTTATTGTGATGGTGTTTTGTTTCAGCTTGTGCTGTTGTTTTGGTTTGCATGTTGGGAAAATTTCTATTCTGGGACATTCCTTACCCTGTGGGCTGCACGCAGGGCATACCTGTCTTCCCAGGGATTCCTAAGCAGCAGAGGCTGAGCCCGCCTGGTTTTGGTCCAGTGTCACAGGAAGTCTGATCCCCACCTGTGGCTCCCCACCTGTGCTTTGCAGCTGAGGTAGCTCAGCTGAAGATCTACCAGACTAAGTTCCTAGTGACCGTTTCCTTCTGGTTTCCAGGTGTTTGATTTTGAATTATCAGAAGAGGATATGACTGACCTCCTCGGCCTGGACAGGAATCTCCGTTTGGCCACATTCCCCATGTAAATATGGCTCCTTTACCCACCTTCTCAAGGAGGGGGAGCAAGGTCCAGATTGCGTGACTGCTCCCTGCACAGGGCTTTACCGCCTTTGGGGTTAAGTTAACCTTCTCATAATTCTCTCCCGTCTAAGGACAGGCCACTTTGGAGGTAAATTATAAGACTGTGTCCATACACTCAGCAGTTTAAACAATATGTTAAGTGTATTTTTTCAACGTTTCTCTTAAAAATAATAGCCATTCTCTGCTTCTATCTTTGACCTGTTTTTCTCTTTTTCAGTACTGAAAATCACAAGGACTATCCCTTCAGAACAGAGTTCTGAGGACCCTGCTCAGCCCAGATGAATCCTCGCCAACTCAGGGCAGCCCTGGACAGGGCAGGGGACTCAGCTTGATTTGGGTGGGTTCCCTGAGAAGTCCCAAGAACTGAATATGGTCTGTGCCTGAAGGTGGAGGCTTCATGAGAGCGGTGATCACTTTCCACTGAGACCCATTCAGGTTTTAAAATCCAAGGAGCCCACAGTGTGCTGGGTTCTCACAAGAGCGCTGGGTGGTCTACACCCTCAAACAGGGATATTCAATGACTCATGAATAATTTGCCTTCCCATTAAAAAAAAAATTATGTTATGGAAAAGTTGGAATGTCTACAGTATAAGGAATCTTCACCCCCACCACTCAGCTTCAGCCATTATCAGTCCCTGGCCCTTCTTGCTTTGTCTCTGATCCTCTGTTCCCTGCCAATACCCCCAGATGGTTTTAAAGCAAAATCCTTACACAACACACAACAAAATGGTGTGCTCAGCAGCCTGCCACTGTCCCATCCCTCACTGATGGTAATGTACTGCCATAGGGGACAGGTTTCCATAGCCTGGAAAAAATGATTTCCAACCTGTCTAAAACACAAGACAAAAGTAATAAAACCATAATGCAGTTCTTATAAATAAGGAAATGATAAATTCCCAGTTTAAAAGGGTGATATTTGAGGAGCACAGTAACAGTTATTGATTACTTACCACGTTGTGCTGTGTGGTTGTGTCTGACTCTTTGTGACCCTATGGATGAGCTCGCCAGGCTCCTCTGTCCATGGGATTCTCCAGGCAAGAATACTGGAGTGAGTTGCATGCCCTCCTCCAAGAGATCTTCTCAACTCAGGGATTGAACCCGGGTCTCCTGCCTCTCCTGCATTGTAGGCAGATTCTTTACCACTCGAACCACCTGGGAAGCGCACTAGGCATTTAATTTGCAGAACATGCTGAATTCTCTTAAGAAGACAGGTACAAGGTGGCTGAATAATTCCCAAAGATTACGTGATTATGAAGGTTGAGGCTAGGATTTGAATGTCCAAAAACCAGGGAGCAAATTAATTATAACAGAAATAAAAACTGAATTGACAGTGATTTTCCAGTTTCTCCACCCAAAATAAAAAAAAAAAAAAAATCAACCTCCAAAACACTTGAAGTATATTGAAAAAATAGCACTTTCAGTAATTTTGGGTAGGATTATAAATTTATGTAGATGCTCCTGGAAGCAATTTGGTATTATATTTTAAAATCATTAAAAATGTGCATATTAATTGGTAGCATTTGAGCCTTTAAGCATTGAACTTTAGGAAAAAAGAAGGGCTCCCCTCCAAATTCTCAAGTTAGAGTATGTTGCTATAGAAAAGTTATATTTATGCTTAATCATTTGCGGTTGTGGGAAAAAATTAAAATTTGAATTTAAAAACACTTCCCAGAAAGGAAGGACTGTTTTTCTCCTGGTCTCATCCCCTCTTTTTTAATTCCGTCTCCCATCCCCCTCAGTAATCTTGTTTTGGTAACAAAGTGAAAGTGAAAGTTGCTCAGTCATGTCTGACTCTTTGTGACCCCATGGACTATACTGTCCATGGAATTTCCCAGGCCAGAATACTGGAGTGGTTAGCCTTTCCCTTCTCCAGGGGATATTCCCAACCTGGTGACTGAACGCAGGTCTCCTGCATTGCAGGCGGATTCTTTAAGTTGGAGCCACCGGGGAAGCCCAAGAATACCGGAGTAGATAGCTGGTCCCTTTTCCAGCGGATCTTCTGGACCCAGGAATCAAACCCAGGTCTCCCGCATTGCAGGGGGATTCTTTACCAACTGAGCCACCAGGGAAGCCCACTGTTTTGGTGTTCAGTTCAGTTCAGTTCAGTCGCTCAGTCGTGTCTGACTCTTTGCGACCCCGTGAACCGCAGCACACCAGGCCTCCCTGTGCATCACCAACTCCCGGAGTCCACCGAAACCCATGTCCACTGAGTTGGTGATGGTTTTGGTGATAGCAGTGCCAAATCTCAGGACTGGCATCCAGTTTCCAAAGTTCATTTCCATAGAAGAGGGTGTGTATTCATTCACCTCCTGGTTTTCATGGCCCAGACTGTTTTTATTCCCATTTCCTCCAGCCTGTGCTCTGGGCAGAATTTTATTTTTTTATTCCACAGTAAGTAGGGAGGGCCCAAAGCTAGAGCCACATCAAAATTCTTCTGACTAGAAAGGAATGCAAAAGAGAGGAGAACATGTGGAGCTGATGCCAAGTTTTCAGTGGCTCTTTTTAAAGTAAGCGTTTTCTTTTTTTTCCTTTTTTGGCATGTGAGATCTTGGTTCCCTGACTGGGGATCAAACCTGTGCCCCCTACAGTAGGAGAACACAGTCTTAATCACTGGCCCACCGGTGCAGTCCTTAAAGTAAACTTTTAGTTTGAGATGATCATGGATTCACTTGCTGTTCAAAAAGAATACAGAGCAAGCTTGTGTCCCATCTATTCCTCCACCTGGTCTCCTACATTGCAGGCGGATTCTGATCTGCTATCCAGGCACACTGTGAAATGATGATCATCTAACATAGTTCCCTTCTAAGTGCTGAGAAGGCTTGAGATTTACTCTAGTAGATAGTAGACACTAGCATAATAAATATAAAACTCAATTTTTAAAATTAGAATATTTATAAACTCAGTATTCTCCTCATTGTCAGTTCTATTGTTTGATTCCATGAAAGGACATTTAATGAGATTCATCACTTTTTTTTCAGATTTATTGATGTATAATTGACAATTGAAATTTTACATATAATGATGGTCTGCTATGCATATACATTGTGAAATGGTCCCCACATAGAATCAAGCTAATTAACATCCATCAACTCTGCATTACTTGTTTGTTTGTTTTTGTTTTGTTGGGAACCCTTAGGATCTGTAAGCAAATTCAATTATGCATACAGTATTATTAACTACAGTCACCTTGGTGTACAGTAGATCCTCAGAACTTACTCATCTCATGACTAAAGGTTGATACCCTTTTGACGAACATCTCCCTGTTTCCCCCACTCTAATCACATGAATGTTACATCTTTTGTTATTGCTCCTCTGGTCCCCAAGGCACTGTTCCTTTTTTTTTTAACCTACTTTTCCTGATTCCCTCTGAGTAATTCATATTGCTTTATCTTCCAAAACACTATTTATTCTGTTCCTTCAGGTCTATTGAGTTCATCCACAAGTTTTTAATTCTCACTACTATATTTTTCACTTCTAAAGCTTTCATTTGGTTTTTCTTTATGTCTTCTGTTTCTTTGCTAGGACACTCTGTTTCCTGGTTGAAACTTTCTACTTTTTCATTTGTCCCGAGTACATTTGTAATGGCTTATTGAAACGTTTTCATGATGGATACTCTAAAATCATTCTGATATCTCAGTTGTCTTGGTGTAGGCATCAGTAGCTTGTCTTTTTAAATTCAATTTGATGCCTTCCTTGTTTTGGGAATAATGAGTAATTTTTAATGAAAATCTAGACAACGGGGATATTGTGTGTTCATTAAGCTTTAGATCCCTTTAAAAGGTCTCATAAAATTGCATACTGTGGGAAATTCACTGAATGGAAGAGGAAAAAACACATAAGAACTACAGACAGGTGAAAAGCCACACCTGGAAAATTTGGAAACTATACTATGGTAAGCTTTTTCTGAGGGCTCCATCCTCTATGATCACTTCCAGGGATATCAGCATTTCAGTCTGTTACACAGGGGGGGAAAGATGAAAAAGCTAACCAAGCGGTATGTTGGATTGTTTGAATTGTGTCTTTATTTACTTTTGGGGAAAAAGACTGGGTTTAGAGATTTTTATTTCCTAATGTAGTATCATGACTGACCAGGCTAAGTGATGTCTAATAAAGCAGGCACCTTCTCATCCTTGAGATGTGCTTTGATCATCAACACCAATGCAAGAACTCTGGAGCAACCACAGACACAGTTGTTAATATTCCTCATGAAATGGGTAATCTGGATGATGAGCAAATCTAAGAGATAAAGAGAAAGTTTTAGTCAAGTACCTGTTTCTGGGCTGGGTAGAGAGGTTTCTTTTAAACTGGCTTAAGCAAGAGATCATGAACTCCTTATTGCCAAATTCAGACTTAAATTGCAGAAAGTAGGGAAAAACCACTAGTCCATTCAGGTGTGACCTAAATCAAATCCCTTATGATTATACAGTGGAAGTGACAAATAGGTTCAAGGGGTTGGATCTGATAGAGTGCCTGAAGAACTATGGATGGAGGTTCATGATATTGTACAGGAGACACAAATCAAGGCCATCCCCCAAAAAAAGAAATGTGAAAAAGCAAAATGGCTGAGGAGGCCTTACAAATATCTGTGAAAAGAGAAGCAAAAAGCAAAGGAGAAAAGGAAAGATGCACCGATTTGAAGGCAGAGTTCCAAAGAATAGCAAGGAGAGAGAAGAAAGGCCTATTCAATGATCAGTGCAAAGACAGAGGAAAGCAATAGAATGGGAAAGACTAGAGATCTCTTCAAGAAAATTAGAGATACCAAGGGAATATATAATGCAAAGATAGGCACAATAAAGGAGAGAAATGGTATGGACCTAAGAGAAGCAGAAGATATTAAGAAGAGGTGGCAAGAATACACAGAAGAATATACAGAAAAGATCTTCACGACCCAGAT